AGGCCCAGAGAGACAGGAGTGTGGGACTTTTTGTTTTGTTTTTGTTTGAGACAACATAGTGAGACCCTGTCTTTATAAAAAATTTTAAAAAATTATCCAGGCATAGTGGCATGTGCCTGTGGTACCCAGCTACTGAGGACAGAGGATTGCTTGAATCTGGGAGGTTGAGGCTGCAGTAAGCTGTGATCTGTAATCACACCATTGCACTCCTGACTGGGTGACAGAGTGAGACCCTGTCTCAAAAAAAAAAAAAAAGAACCCACTGGTGCTAATTGGAGCATGTGTCTTTTCAGGGGAACTTGAATCTAGGCTCCCAGGTGGCCGTCCTTAAGCTTTGAGCTTGAATAAACTTTGTACTTAATCATATTTTCTAAATCTCATTATTTAAAGTTGAGAATTCATTCCTCCCTTCATCTGTTCATCCATATGTCTGTCCTTTCACCCACCTATCCACCCATATATCCATCCACCCATTTGTCTGTTAGTCCATCCATCCATCCATCCATCCATCCATCCATCCATCCATCCATCCACTCACCCAGTCATCCATCCATCCATCCATCCATCTGTCCTTTCACTCACCCATTTATTTGTCCGTCCGTCCGTCCATCCATCCATCCGTCCGTCCGTCCGTCCGTCCGTCCATCCATCCATCCATCCATCTATCCATCCCACTGAGTCATCCATCCATCCATCCATCCATCCGTCCGTCCATCTTATATTTTGGGGGGCATGTCTGATGTGTCATACTGTGGCAGGTGTACAGACACAAATTTGGAAGACAGATCTCCACTTAGAATTCTGCCAGGCACCTCAGCTCAACATATCTCCAGCTGACTTCATTTTATCCTCCTCCTCCCATCTCTTGACCTTCTGTTCAAGCATTTAGTAAATGCCAGTCATCCACAGCCTGAGCCCACCTGGGTTGCCCTCAGTTGTCTGACTCACATCCATTCTAATTCCTTGGCTTCTCTCAACCATCTCTGCTCCTTTTCCTCCTCTCGGCCATTCCTGAGTGTACCTCGATCACTACAGCAGTATCTATGCTGTTTCCTCCTTTTCTAGGTGACCATTTGTCCTTCTGCCAGAGGGATCTGTGGGAAATACAGATTTGATCCTGCTATTTCTTGCTGGGAGCCCTCCATGGCTCCCAGTCCCTGGAATGCGGCGGGCAACTTTCAACTCCTGGTCCTGGGAGCCTCCCACCTGTGCACAGTGTGTGCTTCCAGGGCCCATGCCCACTCCCTCCTTCCCAGCATTCCAGTTTGGCCCTTGAGGCCTCCTCGGAGTCATCTCCCTCCCAGATGTGCAATGCATTTTGGGTTCTCACAGCTTCCCCTCCTTACCTGCAAAGGTTGAACAGACCTGGATCTGATATCCTGCTTTGCCACTTCCTCCTGCGTGACCTTTGTTATGAAGTTCTCTAGACTTAGGGTTTCCATTGGCTAATGGGATCAGCCAACCTGCCTTCGAGGAGTGGACGAAGCTTGGCACTTAGTAGGCGCCCATGAGGCATCAGAAACCGCCCTTGTTGAATGATGCTCTAATGCAGTGTTGACATCTCTGTCCTACTAGACTGTAGTTGCTTTGAGGAATCCAGTTCTATCTTTCATCCTGATTCCATGGTGGGACAGACCCGCAGGCCCTTATCAGCAATTCCAAAAAGCAAAAAGCTGGGAAAATGAAAAGGCTTTTTTTTTTTTTTCCTGTAAACTTGGTGCCAAAATTTGCAAAATCTGACCTGACCCGAGGTGTTGGCAGCATCCCAACACTCCCTCTGTTATAGGCACCTCTGCTGGTTGCTGACATTGTGTATGTTTTAATTTTTAAAATGCATTTGTCTTTTTGTGACCTTGGGTTTAATTACACTGTGAATTCATACAAAAAGGGTTACATGTACCCAGTGCTCGCTGTGGGAAGGACACATGGAAACACCCTCTTTGTCCATAGTGCAGAAACCATCAGTGATGTTGGGAAGCCATCAAAAGACAAGCAGCTGGGCTGTGCATGGTGGCTCATGCTTATAATCCTATCACTTTGGGAGGCCGAGGTGGGAGGATTGCTGTGGTCAAGAGTTCAAGACCAACCTGGCCAACATAGCAAGACCCCCTCTCTATTAAAAAAAGACAAACAGTTGAAAATGTACAATAATTGTGATTACCAAGAGCCATTAAAATATGGAAAACATGAGGCCAGTGGTGTGGGGTGTAGGGAGGGAGATCTTAACCAGGAATGGGTGGAATGGAGTTGGCAATGAAGAAGTCACCATATGCCACGGAGTGGTTTGTTGGTTATGAAAGAAGCTGGAATACAGCAGGAAGAACTGAACTTTAAAGGTGAGCATGAATATTCAAGAAGTGTCATGGTGTAAAACAATCTGCATAGCTGTGGTGGAAAGGCTTCTTTTCTGCTCAGGAAACAGCTGAAAATTACATTGATGGGTTCGTTTCCTATGAAAACCTTAGTCTCAGCCAGGCATGATGGCTCACGCCTGCAATCCCAGCACTTTGGGAGGCCAAGGCAGGTGGATTGCTTGAGCCCAGGAGTTCGAGACCAGTCTGGCCAACATGGCAAACCCAGTCTCTGCAAAAAATACAGAAATTAGCCAGTCATGGTGGTGCATGCCTGTAGTCCCAGCTACTCTGGAGGCTGAGGTAGGAGGATCACTGAGCCCAGGGAGGCTGAGGCTGCAGTGAGCCAAGATGGTGCCACTGCACTCCAGCCTGGGTGACAGAGAGAGACCCTGTCTGAAAACCAAAAAACAACAAAACCTTAGTCAGAACAAGTCTGTGGCGCTGATGAGTCAGGCAGCTCCACCTGTGCTCTTTTCTAGGCAGACAGGATGGTTGAGGAGAGTCACAACAGGCGTCCAGGAGGAAATGCACGGGCTGATGCTGGCCAAAGCTGGCTGTGGCTGGAAAAAGCCACTGGTGTGAATGATGTATGCTAGCTAGTATGCAGGGAACATATACTGGGAACCCGAGCCATGTTTTCCGCATGCTTTAATAATCCTTTGCATCAGTGCCAGGAATTCACTGCAGATAAGCTGGTCTGGAAGAAAAATGAACATTTTGTTATTTCTGCACAGCTGCTCCACACATTCCCTTCCTGAATGTCTTTTGAAAAGCAGTATTTCTGACATTGACTTTTCACCAATTTGTGAAGGGAGTTTTACACTCCAATAAGAGTGAATGTAAATGCTTTTTTTGGGGGAAGGGGGAATCCTGCCATTAACAGAAGCAGGGCTTCCTAAGTTCACTCACAAGGCTGCCGTTCGCACCGTCACAGATGCTCGGACAGAATGGACAGCTCCACTAACGTGCACTCGGTTGACTGTGTGAACCCCAAACATTTGAGACAGGCCTCAGTTACTTTAGAAAGTTTATTTTGCCGAGGTTGAGGACGCACACCGGTGACATGGCCTCAGGAGGTCCTGACGACATTTGTCCAAGGTGGTCAGAGCACAGCTTGGTTTTAGATATTTTGGGGAGACCTGAGACATCATTAACACATGTAAGATGAACATTGGTTTGATCCGGAAAGGTGGGACAACTGGAGGCAAAAGTGGGACTCAAAGTGGGGAGGGGGTTTCCAGGTCATGGGTAGATGAGAGACAAGTAGTCGCATTGAGTTTCTGATGAGCCCTTCCAAAGGAGGCAACCAGATACTCATTTATCTCAGCGAGCAGAGGGGGGACTTGGAGTAGAAAGGGAGGCAGGTTTGCCATAAGCAGCTCCCAGTTTGACTTTTCCCTTTAGCTTCCTGATTTCGGGGGCCCAAGAGATTTTCCTTTCGCAGCTGCACGAGCACTTTGACCTAAAACAATTCTTGAAACCGAACCTGGAGATAAAGCCCATCTATGGCAGAAGAAGGTGATAGCAAACCGCATTATTGACCCTCGAAGTTTATCAACCAAAAGGGGAAGTGGGGAGAACGTCACAGAGAAGAGATGCCGAACCTTGAAATGGGGCATCTCTGTGCCTGCCTTGCATGATGGAGAAATTGCTGGAATAGGCTGAATACCAGTGAGAATGGGAGGGGAAAGGGGAGGGAGATGTGGACCCTGGGGAGCCCCCACAGACTATCTGGCAATAATCTGTGGCCTGCTAATTGCTGGCTTCAAGGACATTTATCAGTGAGCAGGAGGACTCCTGAGTTAGAGAGGTGCTTAGGTGTGGCACTGCTGACGTGGGAGGAAGTGCTGAGAAGCCCATTGACATGGTGCTGCCCTGGGACTTCAGTGACTCTTCTTCAACCCATCCTCCGTGCTGCCTCCAGCCCTATGATCTCAGCAATGCATCACTGCTGTGCCACCTTTCCCAAGACCCTCAAGCAGCCGGACGTAGCCTGACTCATTGCATGTATGCATACAGGTGTCAACCTAAAATAATCAAAAGGGCCAGAATCTAGTTTAAGGAGAGTTTATTCAAGTGCAAAGTTTAAGTCCAGCCACCCAGGAAGCACAGATTCCAAAGAATGGAAGTCAGTGTTCTGAAGTGTAGAAGTTTGGGACCACGTATATAGATAAAGTTTACGGAAGCTTACCGTAATTTCAACATCTTTAGACTTTAATGTGTAGTTTCAATGGTCTGATTAGTCGAGGTGGTCTTTTTCTTTCACGAAGGGTGTATTTGGCCGGGCACAGTGACTCATGCCTGTAACCCTAGCACTTTGGGAGGCCAAGGTGGGTGGATCACCTGAGGTCAGGAGTTCAAGACCATCCTGGCCAACATGGTGAAACCCAGTCTCTACTAAAAATGCAAAAATTAGCCGGGTGTGGTGGCGAGCACTTATAATCCCAGCTACTCGGGAGGCTGAGGCAGGAGAATTGCTTGAACCTGGGAGGCGGAGGTTGCAGTGAGCCAAGATCACGCCACTGCACTCCAGCCTGGGCAACAGAGCCAGACTCTGTCTCAAAAAAAAAAAAAAAAAAAAAAGAAGAAAGGTGTATTTAATCTTCCACAAAAAAAAAAAAAAAAAAAGAAGAAAGGTGTATTTAATCTTCCACACTGAAAATGCAACAGTCATGAGGTCTTTGCGCCATCTGGTCTGAGCTGGGTACAGGACAATGAAGGAGGCAGGTAATCTGTAACAGAGATTGATCAGTGATGGGAAGGAGGAGATCTGATCAGAGATCGATCAGTGATGGGAAGGAGGTGGTCTGATCAGAGATCGATCAGTGATGGGAAGGAGGAGGTCTGATCAGAGATCGATCAGTGATGGGAAGGAGGTGGTCTGATCAGAGATCGATCAGTGATGGGAAGGAGGAGATCTGATCAGAGATCGATCAGTGATGGGAAGGAGGAGATCTGATCAGAGATCGATCAGTGATGGGAAGGAGGAGATCTGAGAGATCGATCAGTGATGGGAAGGAGGTGGTCTGATCAGAGATCGATCAGTGATGGGAAGGAGGAGATCTGATCAGAGATCGATCAGTGATGGGAAGGAGGAGATCTGATCAGAGATCGATCAGTGATGGGAAGGAGGAGATCTGGTCTCTGGGAGACTGAGGCAGGAGGATTACTTGAGCTCAAGAGTTCTTTTTTTTTGAGACGAGTCTCGCTCTGTCACCCTGGCTGGAGTGCAGTGGCACGATCTTGGCTCAATGCAACCTCCACTTCCCAGGTTCAAGCGATTCTATTGCCTCAGCCTCCTGAGTAGCTGGGATTACAGGTGCGTGCCACCACGCCTAGCTAATTTTTGTATTTTTAGTAGAGACGGGGTTTCACCACATTGGTCAGGCTGGTCTCAAACTCTTGACCACAATTGATCCACCCGCCTCGGTCTCCCAAAGTGCTGGGATTACAGGTGTGAGCCACTATGCCCAGTCGAGCTCAGGAGTTCCAATCCAGCCTGGACAACACAGCAAGATCCTATCTCAAAAAGAAAGAACTATGACAATACGACTTTGCAGCTTTTCAGAACATCATTAACCTTGCAGCTCTTCATGTTTCTCCTAGTCATGTCCAGAACAAGGACCCTGGGGAATAGAGTTAAGCTGTAATCTAAGAAGCAGAATTTGCAAATATGCTATTGACTCAGTCTCCAGGGCTTAACGTCCCCTTTGGTATAATAAATTTAGAGGGTCCTGAAATTTTATTTGCTTTTAAACGACTTTTTTTTTTTTTTTTAAACATTTAGCTTCACTTGAACCTATGTTTGAAGCTTTAGTGAACATTGTCCTTGGGAGTAAGAAGTACTAGAAAATTTATGGTATGTGGTTATCTTGCTATTTCATGAACTACCGTATTACCATATAAATCAGCTGGAAGCAAGCTGTCATCCTGTTTATGGGATATTTGTTCCACTTAGCATGATGAATTTGGCTGCAGGAATATCAGTATATTTGCCTTTGGAGTCCTGCCTCAGACCCCTGATGGGGGCTATGCAATCTATAGTACTTGCTTTTATTTGTTTATTCTGCTGTAAATGGTTCATTTGAATGTTTTGTTTGCAAAAATAGCCTTAATTTTCCCTTCACTGTTTCCATGCGCCTTAGAAATAGGACTTCGCAGCCGGTTGTGGTCATACACACCTATAGTCCCAACTACTTGCAAGGCTGAGGCGGGGGTGTGGCAGACCAGGTCTCACTAACGCAGGCCTCCATAACAACTCTTTCAGTACTGACCAAGTGGTTAAGTTAAATACTAAAAGCTGAAAGAGCCAGCGCCCTTATACAAAGGCTGGAATGTAACAAAAGCCCACCAAGAGGTTTGCCCAGGCCTTTCCTGGGCTTTAAAGCACGACAAGATAACAAAGGAATTCTCAACAGGACCCATTTAGGATTAAACAAGTTTTACTGGGGGGTCTGAAGAAGCTCCCCAGGCCTCCACAAACAAGCTTTATTGGAGACTAAAGGAACTCCCTAAACCTCCGTGACTTAGCAGGAGGCCAGATCCGGGTGATCACCCCAGCACCTGGACCCAGCTAGATTAATTAAATTCACTGAGGCTCCAGAGGACGGTCTTCAGGACTCAGACCTTAGTTATAGATCAGAAGTTAATCACTTACGTCTTTAGATGAATGCACACTTACGCGTAGGCATAGAGCTTAGAAGGTATACAAGTTCTGGAAAACGCTGTAATTTTGAGTTGTTCTGGTGATAATTTCCAGGCCTTCTCTCTGTAACTGGTTACAGAAATAAAAACTCCGTTCTCTCCCAGTTCATCTGCATCTTGTTACTGGCACATGAGCATAGGTGGTTTACTCTCAGTTTTGGTCTGTTAACAGGAGGATTACTTGAGCTCAGGAGTTCTAGTCCAGTCTGGGCAACAGAGCAAGACCCTGTCTCAAAAAGAAAGAAAGAAATGATGCTGAGTTTTCTGCTCTTTAAATCGATGACTTTGCAGCTCTTCACCTGAAGAGGTGGCATCTGTTTCCCCTGTTTGAGTGCGGTACATCTAGGAGAATGGCTTTGAGCAGTGGTGTGGCAGACGTGACTGTAGGCCAGCCCTGAGCTGAAGCTGCCGGGGACTGCACACTTCCTCTCTCAGCTCTGCCAACTGCTGCAACATGCCTGGGCCAGCCCGCTGGAGCACAGAGCCCAGTGCATCAGGACAGCCCACATCAACAAGGCCCACCTGTCTCCACTGCAGGTGCGTGAGGGTGCCCGACTGAGAGTAGACAAACCACCCAGCAGGTGGCTTTTCAAGCAGAATCACAGACTAGCTCCATCGCTGTGGTGAAAGTTCTCCCCAGTGCCAGGATTCCACTTGGCCCCTGACTGCTTGAGCAACCGATGTGACAGCCATCTCTCTGCAGCCGTGCGTGTCGGCTGGGCTGGAGCCAGTGCATCAGGAAGTAGACACTGAAGTGGATCAGGAACAAAACATTCCTGAGAGCTGGCAGAAGCTGGCGTCTGGAGCTGCTGGGATGTGGGTACGGGCTCTCTCAGCGGCGGAGGCACGGATCCTGGCAGAATCAACGGCTGCTTTGTGCCTTCGATGCTGCTACCGGCCAGAGTGGTTTTCCGCCTCAAACCCCATACTGTGTGTCTGTTCTTTCTCATTTTTTACTTAAAGGAGAAGAAAAAGGTGACCATGTGTACATGTTGGTGGCACACATAACCTAGTATTAAGTATTACAAAGTCTTACAGGCAGGGCACGGTGGCTTACACCTATAATCCCAGTATTTTGGGAGGCTGAGATGGGCAGATCACCTGAGGTCAGCAGTTTGAGACCAGTCTGGCCAACATGGTGAAACCCCATCTCTGCTAAAAATACAAAAATTAGCTGGGCATGGCGGCGCACGCCTGTAATTCCAGCTACTCGGGAGACTGAGGCAGGAGAATCGCTTGAACCCGGGAGGCTGAGGTTGCAGCGAGCTGAGATCACACCGCGGCACTCCAGCCTGAGTGACAGAGTGAGACTCTGTTTCAAAAAAAGAAAAAAAGTCTTAAAAATCTTACAGACCTAAGGAGGAATTTGTCTTCCTCTGTGAGAGCAGAGATGTGCTCTGATGATATAGAGAAAACCCCAAAATCAGTGTCAGCCCACCAACCAGGCCAGTGAAGCCCCACCCAGACGCACCAGGCATGGTAGTCCATGAACAGCCAGGCTTTTGTAAAGGCCGGTGCTTTATGGAAAGATGCTCTGCTGGGCCCGGGTTCTGGGGCTTCCAGTCGCTCAGTCTTTTGTTTACTCATCCATTGCATATTTCTTGAGCACCTCCCATAAACCAGATGCCGCCTGAGGAACTGGGGTTACCAGGGCAAATGAGACCAGGCCCCTGCCCTCAGGGACCCCAGGTTAAGGAGAAGAGAGAAGCCAAAAATAGGAAAAGAAGTGAACTAATTTCAGATGGTGCTGAGAGCTGTGGAGAGAATGCATGGCACTCGGAGGCCCTGAGCAGCCCAGATGGTGCAGCAGCTGCGGTTGTGGTGTTGAGGGTGTGGCCCTGAAAAGGTGTAGAGTTGAGAGTGAGTGAAGACCCGGGGTCGGCAGGGGTGGGGTGGGAGGTGGAGAATGAGCTGTATGTGGAGGAGCAGCGAGCAGACCACTGTGCCCGGAGCCTGGTGGGGGCCCAGGGCCAGGTGAGGCTGGCAGAGTTTGGGGAGGGCTCCTGACCCAGATCTGGTGGGCTGTGGCATGGAGCATGCTGTCATCCTGAAACCATTCTAAGGACACTGCCAGGCATTTGAACAAGGGGAGAATTGAGATCAGTTCATGTTTCTAAAAGTCTCAGAAGTAGAGTATGACATATGTCCCTACAAACTTGTACAAGAATGTTCACAGCAGCATTAGTCACAACAGCCAAAATGTGGAATCGGCCCGAAATCCCTCACCTGATAAGTGGATCAACAAGGTGTGGTCTGTCCGTACAACGAGTAACCTCCAGCCCTAAGAAGTAATGGTGTGCCAATGCTTGCGGCAACGTGGCGAACCTTGAGCATGTCAACGCGAAAAAAAGGCACGAGAGAAAATTACCTCCATACACATTGGGTTTGCTCAGGAGGAGAAATAAGGATGATAATCCAGAATGCATGGAATGGCAAGCCCCCAGGGCGTTTGGTGAGGGAAGGGTAAGGAGAGCTTTTATTGGCAAAAAGAGATTTACGTAAGCTGCTTACAGAGTCCGTGGATCCCAGAGGTCTAAAGCCAGAGCTGCTGTCAGTTCGTTGGCAGAGATGCTGTTCCTGGGCAGGTGTTCTTCCAGGAGCATCTTACCTGAGTCACTGCCATCCTCAACGATGTCTGGTGATGATCTTATCAAAGCAGGAGATGTGCGAAGAACACGAAAGGGTTTTAGGAAAGTCCTTGAAACAGTTATCTCAGACACCTGAGTGTAAGCCCCCACTGCTTTCGACTTTCCCACACCTATTTTGCCTGGGTCTGACAAAAGTGAATTCAGGCCAGGCGCAGTGGCTCACGCCTGTCATCCCAGCACTTTGGGAGGCCGAGGCAGGAGGATCACTTGAGGTCGGGAGTTTGAGACCAGCGTGGCCAACATGGTGAAACACCATCTCTACTAAAATATGAAAATTAGTGGGGCGTGGTGGTGGATGCTTGTAATCCCAGCTACTTGGGAGGCTGAGGCAGGAGAATTGCTTGAACCTGGGAGGCGGAGGTTGCAGTGAGCCGAGACCGCATCTTTGCACTCCAGCCTGGGCAACAAGAACGAAACTCCATGTAGGAAAAAAAAAAAAATTCATTTTGGTACCTACAACTTCGACAAAAACATTATGTTCCATGAAAGAAACCAGACACAAAAGACCACATGTCGTTAAGATTCCATTTCTGTGAAATATAGGAACAGGCAAATCTATAGAGACAGAAAGTAGATGAGTGGTTGCTTCAGCCTAGGGGAGGGGAGGATGAGAGGGACTGCTAGTGGCCTGGGGTCTCTTTTTCAAAGATGGAATTTGATAGTGGTATTGGATATACAATTTCATGAATATTCTAAAAACCACTTAATCATACACTTAAAAGGGCTGCTTTATTGTATGTGAATTAATTCTCAATAAAGCTGTTAAAAAAACTAGAGGTTAGAGTGTTGGGGGCTGGGCAGCAGGGAGAAGGCAAGGGGTGATCCTTGTGACAGGAGGTGGGGGCTGGCCCAGGGTAGAGGCTGGGCGAGGGTGGAAGCTGGAGGTGGAGGGAAGGGGACAGGAGATGGAGGTGCAGCCCTTGCTGGGGGGTTGGACATGCAGGGTAAGGGAGAGAGGAAGAGCAGTGGTGAGTAACGGGGGTGTCAGGAGTGTGAGGCCAGCAGCTCCATGTTGGATTTGCCATTTCTCAGCCAGTCTAGGATAACAATAGGCAATGTGTGAGGAATCAGGGCAAACAAGGGCTTAGGGCCTGGGCTCTGGAACCCTGCAGACCTGGGCTTAATCCCGGCTCTGCCATGGGAAGAGCTTGAGACCTTGGGCACGAAAGTTAATTTCTCAAGGCCTCCCATTTGTAAAATGAGGATAATATGTACTATGTTGGATGTCCCCTCCAACACTCATGCTGAGACTCTCCCCACTGTGGCCATATTGAGAGGCGGGGCCTTTGAGAGGTGATTGGACCCTGCCCTCATGCATGGATTAATTCATTCACGGTTAGCGGATTGATGGGTTATCATGGGAGGGGAGCTGGTGACTTTATAAGAAGAGGAAGAGACCTCTGAGCTAGCATGTTGGCATGCGCAGCCCCTCGCTGTGTGGCCGGTGGGAAGGCGCTCACCAGATGTGACCTCTTGACCTTGGACTTCTCAGCTGCCAAGGTCATTTCAGTTTGGCAGCTGTGAGAAGTAACTGTAAAAAATAAATTCCTTTGCTTTATCAATTACTCAGTTTCAGATATTCCATTTATAAGCAACAGAAAATAGATTACATAGTAAGTGTGCCTGCCTCTTAGGGTGTTATTGGGAAAATATTTGATAAAGCTATGAAGTGCCCAGAGTGGGCCTGTTGTGCTGTGAGGGCCAAGTGAGACTTCAGATCGTCACTTTCTCAGTCTGGGCCTTGGTTTGGTGATCTGTGGAACGGGGGTTGGACTAGTTGATTCCGGGGTCCCTTCTGAAACCCTCAACTTTGTGGGTCCATGACATGAAACGCAACCCCCTGCCATTGTCTGCAGAAAGCCGTAAACTCTACCTCCCCAGGGAGACAGATGCTCGTCTCTCTGGCTGCCCAAAGCGCAGGCAGTCTCGTGTTCTGATGGCTCTTTCTTTCTTTTTTCTTTTCTTTTTTTCTTTTTTTTTTAGATGGAGTGTTGCTCTGTCATCCAGGCTGGAGTGCAATGGCGAGATCTCGGCTCAATGCAACCTCCGCCTCCCAGGTTCAAGCAATTCTCCTGTCTCAGACTCCCGAGTAGCTGGGATTACAGGCACGCGCCACCACGCCCAGCTAATTTTTGTATTTTTAGTAGAGACAGGGTTTCACCATATTGGTCAGGCTGGTCTCGAACTCCTGACCTCAGGTGATCCGCCCATCTCAGCCTCTCAAAGTGCTGGGATTACAGGTGTGAGCCACTTTGCCCGGCTTGGCTCTCACTTTCATGTTCTTTCCATGTAATCACACATGAATGGTTACCACAAGATCTCACAGGGAAATCATTTAGCAAGTGAGTCTCAGTTTTTAAAAGGAAGGTGTTTGTGTTTTATTAGCATGTGTAATTGATCAGACTGTGTAGTTAAACCCCTAAGAAGACTTAAGGTCTTGTCTCCCTCAGCTGGGACTTCTGTCACAAATGCCACAGATTAAACAACAGAAATTGATGTCTCACAGTTCTGGAGGCTGGAAGTTCAAGACCAAGCCGCTGGTCAGTCCTGTTCCTAGTGAGGTCTCTCTTCCTGGTTTGCTGATAGCTGCCTTCTTATCGTATCCTCAGATGGCGAGGAGAGAGAGAGTGAGCAAGCTCTCTTCTTTCTTCTTATAAAGGCACTAACCTCATTATAGGACCCACTCTCATAGTCTTATTACCTCTGAGTCCTCACCTCCTAACACCATAGGAGGTTAGGGTTTCAACATTTTAATTTTGATAAATACTCAGTTCATAACGGGTCTGCACCTGGGGTCCATAAAGGTCAGTTTTATTTCTAGCAGAATAATGGTGAGCTGGGCCACCATTACAACTGCCTGTATGCAGGCAGCCCATATTTATGGCTTTCCATAATGGCTTTATTCTTTCCCAAAATGGCATTTTTATTTTACTTACTGTATGTGTGATTAATACATTCTCACAGGTCAAAATAAAAATAACCGAAAAGTCCCCTGCTGGC